TAGCTGTTTTTTGTTACTTTTTTTAGCCATCTTATTTGTAAAAAAAAAAAAAAAAATCTGTATGCCTTTTTATAACTGTCTATTTATGTCATGTTGTCATCGTTCTTTGTTGAAATCAGGTCTCTCTTGTAAATGAGTCCTGGAGGCTCAATGGGATTTACGTGTCTAAATAAAGGTTGAATGATTGTTGTGAATTGGTGCTATTTAAATACACTGAATTAAATTGAAGTAGTTAAACTGTAAAAACGTACAGAAAAATGACGCAGACTTGGCGTTCACATTAACACACCAAAGTAGTTTTTATCTGATCACCGAACTAACTACAGAAGATGCTGACTGAATATTAGATAAACCTGTTAAACCACGTTGAAGCAGTGTAACTTTTTGTTTATAGGCGTTTATTTTTTACGTGAATCACACACGACCATCATTCTGCATTCTTACCACTCAAATATTGAAACGTACTCACAAACATACTTTAACTATGATTAAGCTTTTGTGTGAAACTGCTAACCAGGGAGTGGCAACATTGGGGAAAAAAAGATTACATTAAAAATCTTGGTGAAAACTTTAGATAATCGGTGTAAAATGAAGCTTACATGATGTTGTAGTTTTCGTCATAAAAGAGGAGTTCAGTCGCCTCCCAGGTTCCTGACGTTAGGTATCGAACTTCATCCTGTTAGAGAAAACCCAGGGATCATTTTTGTTTTGTAAACAAACTTTTTGGAAATGCAGGAATTTGAAAGCAGACACAAGAGGGCGCTGTGTTGCTTTTGTTTGGTCAACATGAAAAAATATAGTAACTAATAGTTACTAATATCAACTAATAACATTGTTTATAGTTGAGGTCAGAGGTTTCTATTCACTCAGGCATAAAGGTGAACTTTGGCCTTCTGTGATGAATTAATTAAATCGTTTTTCCAGGGTGGAATGGTTACATGACATAATATCCAACCATCCAGCCAGCCAATTCCGAAGTCTGGTCGCGGGGGAAGCAGCTTGAGCAGGGAGGTCCAGACATCTCTTTCCACAGCCAACTCTTCCAGCTCTTCTGGGAGGATTCCAAGGTGTTTCCAGGCCAACCGAGAGACATAGTCTCCCCAGCGTGTCCTGGGTCTTCTTCGCGGTATCGTCCGAGTCATACATGCCCAAAGCACCTCCTTACGGAGGTGTCCATGGAACATCCTTACCAGATGCCTAAACCACCTCAACTGGCTCCTCTTGATGTGGAGGAGCAGCGGTTCTACTCAGAGTCTCTCCTGATAACTGAACTTCTCACACTATCTCTAAGGGAGTCTAGCTACCCTTTGGAGGAAGTTCATTTCAACTGCCTGTATCCATGATCTCATTCTTTTGGTCACTACCCAGAGCTCATGACCATAGTTGAGGGTAGGAACGTAGACTGACTGGTAAATGAGAGCTTTGTCTTACAGCTCAGCTTCATCTTCACCACAATGGACTGGTACAGAGTCTGCAATACCGCAGATGCTGCACCAATCTGTCTGTCAGCCTCATGCTCCATTCTTCCCTCACTTGTGAACAAAACCCCGAGATACTTGAACTCATCCACTTGAGGAAGAACCTCACCCTCGACCTGAAGAGAGCAATCCACCCTTTCCGGTTGAGGACCATGGCCTCAGATTTGGAGGTGCTGATTCTCATCCCAGTCGCTTCACACTCAGCTGCAAACTGCTCCAGTGAGAGCTGAAGATCACGGCATGATGACGCCAACAGGACCACATCATCTGCAAAGAGCAGAGATGAAATCTTGAGGCCACCAAACCGGAAACCCTCTGCCCCCGGGCTGCACTGAGAAATTCTGTTCATACAAGTTATGTACAGAATCGGTGACAACAGGCAGCCCTGGCAGAGTCCAACTCCCACCCTGAAGAGGTCCGACGTACTACCAGCAATGTGAACCAAACTCTCACATCGCTTGTATAGGGACTGAACAGCCCATAGCAACGGGCCCCCAATCCCATACTCACGGAGCGACTCCCACAGTGTACCACCAGGAACACGGTCGAAAGCATTCTCCAATTCCACAAAACACATGTAGACTGGACGGGCAAAATACAAAGAGACCATTTTTTTTGTTTGTTTGTTTAAATTTATTGCAATATTTCTCAGATCCATCTAGGGTCAAATGTATCCACATATTCACCTAAAACACTTGCATGGTGCTAAAGGTTCCAGAAAGTCTTTTATTTTGACAAGGCCTGTTAATATCTCATTAGTGATCGTGATTGACTGCAGCTGCTAGGTTCTCTCTGCCCACATGAAAAATATTTGTTTGACAGCACTCAGATTAATTGGGAGATTCAGGAACAACCCAGGAACCAATGAGGCTCAAGTCTTCCACGGACTGGAACCTGCTGGAACACTAACGATCCCCTCCACAGTGAAGTCAGTGTTACGTGGCCTTGGTGACCACAAAAGAAGCCCCGCCTCCAAAATCCACACATATACGAGTTAAATGCCTTCTGGGGAAAGATTTGATGGTCAGACGAGACAAAGATTGAAGGATTGGGCACAATGGCAAGAAGCTTGTTTGGAGGAGTCGAGATGAGGCTTTCAAACCTAAGAGGAACTGTCACACATGGTGGTGGAAGCATCATGATGTGGGGCTGGTGCTGGAATAGGAATACTGTACCTTCAAACCCTTCACCTTAAATCATTAGCTAGATAGTTGAAACTAAGACAATGGATCCAAACACGCATCAAAACTGGTTTCTGATTGGATAAATCAGCTAACGTCAACCTTCTGGAACGACCTTACTAAAGCCCTGACATCAAACTCATTGACAGTTTGTGGACTTTTCTTAGAAGTGTCTGTGGCAGGAAATAAACCAAATTAAATGAACTTGACCAATTCTACCTAGCAGAAGAAGAGAGAAGTCTAATATCAACCAGAAGCTTGTTGATGGAGACAGAAACCCTGTGTTCTAGGTGAGACATGTTTCCAAATATTAGTGGGAGTGTACGGTATTTTCCACCGTAAACATTGCACCGCCCTATAAGTCGCATCGGTCCAAATATGTCTAATAAAGTGTAAAAATCCATAAATAAGTCGCTTCGTCGTATATGTCGCATCTATTACGCGTCACCACTGACAACCTGGAAATGCGGGCTGAACCCGGAAATGTGGGCCGGTGTTGTGCCAAAAATCGGTTGGCTGCCAAATGGCGGCCACTGGAGCGTTTAAGAAGAATTTAACAAGATTAACACTTAAAAACAATTATTTGTTTGCTCGAAATTATAGCAAAGGTGTGTCTCAGTCTAACTTTTACTTAATAAATGCACTTTAATGGTCAAATTAGCTGCACTTCGCCAGGGCGGCGCAGTGAAATGAAGCTGATTTGACGGTTGCTCCAAGCAGACGATGGTGGCAGTCTATGGCAAGCCGATTGTGTCATAATAGCCACTTTTGTCTATTACATAATACAACGGCATGCCATACTTCTCGACTGCCATCTAGCGGCTGAAAATGGTAGTGTTCAATATTTTCAGTCAGAATGAATGAAAACGGTCATATCTCAGCCAAAAATTGGTTTATAAATATGGGGAAAAAAAATCCATAAATGCGTCGCTTCAGCGTACAAGTCGCAGGGCATGCAAATTATGCAAAACAACTGCGACTTATAGGCCGAAAAATTAGCTATGTATGTTTAAGGCCGGGCAGCACGGTGGCGCAACTGGTAGAGCTGCAGCTTCTCAGCAAGCAGGTCCTTGGTTCAAACCCCGGTCCAGGGGCCTTTCTGGGTGGAGTTTGCATGTTCTCTCCGTGCATGCGTGGATTTTCTCCGGGTACTCCGGTTTCCTCCCATGGACCAAAAACATGCATGTTAGGCTGATTGGTAACTCTAAATTGTCCCTAGGTGTGAATGAGAGTGAATGGTTGTTTGTCTCGTTTGTCTCTATGTGGCCCTGTGATGGACTTGCGACTCGTCCAGGGTGTACCCCGCCCCTCGCACAGTGATTGCTGGACATGGGCACCAGCGACCCCCGTGACCCAAAATGGAATAAGCGGGGAAAGATAATGGATGGATGGATGGATGTTTAAGGCCTGTATGGAAATTTCTGACTGCAGCTGTAAATCAGCACATGGTGACAAAACACAATGTAGGGATTTAATCTAAATGACGGTAGTGAATTATCGGGAAAGCGGCAGATTTTAGTAAGAAAAAACACTGAACGGGATTAAAATAAAACCTCCCAACAATAGAACTCAGATTCTGTCTTTTCTGCTGTGAGATGACACAAATGTGAGAGAAAATGTGTTTCCAGTCACCTTCTGAGTGAACATGGTGATGTGGCGGAAGTCTCCGTGACCTCCCTGTCTGACGGGCAGAGTGAGGAAGAACCTGCTCGAGTCCTCGGAGAACAGAGGTTCTTCTCCCTGAGGATATGAACGGGAAGGTGACACAATTTCAGCAAGAACCGTCTCTACTGCAGCAAAAAAATGGAGGATGCATTAAAATAAAATGTTTTTTTTTATTTGTTTTATACAATTTGTGTTCTTTTACAAGAGCTTTTAAACGTAATTAACTTCCTGCTGCCCTTGAGTCAAAATAATGAGACCTTGTGGGTCTTTTTGACATAAGGGCAGCACGAGTGTTAAAAAAAAAAAATCAAACTATTTACTTTAAAACAAACGCCTCCAGCTTTTGCTTATCACAGAGACACTGTTACCTTAAAATACTTCATATTTTTTCCAACTCGCAGCTCATTTCTCTGTGAAATTTTACCAAATCTGAGCACACAACGTTTCTTGTACTCAACAAACAACAGAAAACAGCAGATATAGTTAATGTGCAGGAAAATGAAACATATTTTTTCCAAAGTTAGAATAATTTTACCACCTTTGCACAGTCAAAGACTAAAAACAGAAAAGCGTGTAATCTTTACCTGTTGGGAGAGCCAAGTTTCTGATGATTCCTCGTGTCTCTAGAAGAAAAAAAGAAAGTCTAAATTTCACTCAGTCAGTTTGATTGATTCGGAGCTAAAATGTGGTGTGATAGTAGATGCTAGCTAAAAAAGCAAATGGTCACACAATGCTAGCTACAGTGGCTGACAGGTGCAAATGCACAGCAAACAGCTAAACATGCCACAAACACATAAATGATGCAAACACAAAACATAAACAAATGCAACAGAAAAACACATCAACAAACCAATGCAAAGGAAAAATGCTGCAAATACCAAAAACACCAAAAAAAAAAACCTCAAGTACTTTAAAGTTCATGCTCAGTAATCCAGGTCAAAATTCAACAAAGTTCAGTCAGGTCATCTGGACGGTTTCTTTTTTTGTTGAGACGTTTTGTATTTCATCCAAAGGACTTCATCAGTCCGAGGAGCCACAACAAACTCAGCCCCATAAGCAGCACACTCACATAGTGGTCCAACCAGTTGGAAGGTGATAAGATGGTTTCTGGGGCCCACCCTCTCCCCCAGTTGATTCCTCTGAGGAAGCCATATCCAAAGTGATTCAGAACATCAAAGTTCGTGCTCAGTAATCCAGGTTAAAAAATCCAACAAAGTTCAGTTAAAAGTACAGGGTGGATCCCAGAAATCATCTTATCACCAACAAACTGGTTGGTCCACTATATAAGTGTACTGCTTGTGGGAATGAGTTTGTTGTGGCTCCTTGGACTGATGAAGTCCTTTGGATGAAGGACGAAATGTCAAAAAAAAAAGAAACCATCCAGATGACCTGACTGAACTTTGATGGATTTTCTACCTGGATTATTGAGCATGGGCAGCACGGTTGCGCAACTGGTAGAGCTGCTGCCTCTCAGCGACAAGGTTGCCGGTTCAAATCCCGGTCCGGGGGCCTTTCTGGGTGGAGTTTGCATGTTCTCTCCGTGCATGCGTGGGTTTTCTCCGAGTAATCCTGTTTCCTCCCACAGACCAAAAACATGCATGTTAGGCTGATTGGTAACTCTAAATTGTCCCTAGGTGTGAGTGAGAGAGTGAATGGTTGTTTGTCTCATTTGTCTCTATGTGTCCCTGTGATGGACTGGAGACATGTCCAGGGTGTCCCCCGCCCCTCGCACAGTGATTGCTGGACATGGGCACCGGCGACCCCCGTGACCCAAAATGGAATAAGCGGGTACAACATAATGGATGGATGGATTATTGAGCATGAACTTTGATGTTTTGAACCAGTTTGGTGATGACTGCCTCGGAGGAGTCGACGGGGGAGAGGAAGGGCACCCAAAACCATTTTATCACTATGAAACTGGTTGGTCCACTATGTGAGTGTGCTGCTTGTGGGAATGAGTTTGTTATGGCTGCTCAGACTGATGAAGTCCTTTTGGATGAAGGACAAAACATCTCAACAAATGAAAAAAACGTCCAGATGACCTGACTGAACTTTGCTGAACTCAAGTACTTCTTTCTTCACCCTTACTTTCTTCTGGGCATCTTGATAATGTCTTTACAGGAGGTCTGCACCCAGATTACTTGGTGGTCGAGTCCCTCTCCTGGTCTGGTGCATTTCTGTTTTGAGGAGTGAGTTTGCAGCATTTCTTACTTGTAGTTGTTTTGGCCATTTTAACGTATTTGATATTTGCAGCATTTTTCCTTTGCATTTGTGTTGTTGGTTGTAAGTTTTTTCTTCTGTTTTTCTATGATTGCATGTTTTTTCAGCATTATCCTGTTTCAATTGTGTTTTCTTTGTGTGTTTTGTAGTTTGCATCATTCATGTGTTTGCAGCACGCATAAATGTTTACTGCGAGTTTGCACTTGTCAGTCACCGTAGTTAGCTAAAAACTAAAATATATTTTTTTTAAATCTAAAACTTGCAAATGGCTTGTTAAAAGTAGCAATAGGCTAGCTGTAAGTAAAAGTAGTGATGTAGTAAAAAGTAGAAAGAAGCCAAAAATGATAAAGTAGCAAAAAGCTGGCTAAAAGCTAAATGTATTGGAAGGCTAGATAATGGCTAATGTAGCACAAAGTTAGCTTAAAATAGTGAAATGGGTGTGGTATGGTGGCTAAACATGTCAAAAGTAGTAAAAGTTTAACTAGAATTTAAAGTGACTAAAGGCTAGCTTGAAACTAGTTCAAGCTAACCTTGAATTAGGTAGCCTGCTACTAAGTAGCAAAATGTTAACTAAAATCCAGTGGAGGGCCCAGCTAATCAAAAAGTTAGCTTTGCTAACCACTAATTTGCTAACTAACAAAATTAGCTTCACTAACACTAAACAGCTAAACGGATTAAAACAATTAGCGGAAGCTAACGCTAAAGCGCTAACGTTTATCATCCACTGCTGTCGCTGACACTGTAAGACTGTCTGTAATGTGACACGATGTAAGTGAACACAACTCATTACGGTTCATAAATCACGAATAAAATGTCAATGTCCATGTCCCGTTCAGAGGTGAGCTTTCATACATTAATCTGATCCATCTGAACCAAAGAGGTGGAGCAGAACTCTGCTGTGCTGAAGCAGAGTGATGCATTCAATGTGTGTCGGACGTGTCCCTGGTGTCATTTACTAGAATTAACTCACTTTGATGATCCTCTTTGTGGTTAACTACTTTTATAAACTAACTACAAAAGTTGCTGTGGGTCATCATCAATATTCACTCAGTAAAATCTGTTTGTATTGAAGTAAAGATGTGAAATGTGTGAGAGAGTCACGTCCCAGATACAGTGAATTAGGCTGAAAAGCATGCTGTGTAGGAATTAAGTGTGCAATGTTTCTGACTGTTTACGATGTTTCTGACTGTTTACGATGTTTCTGACTGTTTACGATGTTTCTAAAGGTGAAAATGGGTTTTTCGTGTTATTTTCCTGTTCAAGTTTGCTTTGGCATTTATGTTAAAGTCTCTGGTATTGGCTGTAAACTGACACCATGAGACAGAGGTTGTTTGTGGTAGATATGGGGAAAAAAACACAGCAAGCATGGTGACATGACCATGTGGTGCTCTGCGTTGCTTAGCTCTAAATAGCATTACGTTTAGACTAGAAAACATCTTAAAAAAAAATTGTGGACTTTAACCGGATTTAAAGTTAGCGGTAGCTAATTCCGCTAAAGGTTTTCAAAGTTGGCGAAAATGCAAAATAAATGCTAATAAATAAAGAGAACCGGTGTTAATCCCTATTCAGCATTCAGCGAGCAGCACCAACCTGGTGACAGACTCCTGCGGCGGCGTCGCACACCGTCAGCAGAGAGGCATTCTGGAACCGGTTGAGCCACCGAACGACGAGGTGCTTCTTACTGATCCACTTCACCATGGTGACGTAGAAATCCCTGCAGACGGGAGAATGGAATCAGGGGGTTTTGTGTCGTGTTGCCACGCTGTGCGGGCGTGTCGGTGTGCGTCGTCACCTCATCCTCAGCTGATGTGGCGGCTGCAGCTCCTGAGAGTGAGTCGCACCGAACAGGTTGACCACAGACAGCTTAACGGCAGGGTTGGACTGACCGACCTGAAACAAATAAACAGAAATAAAGAACTATCTAATTAAATAAATAAAGTAACTTAACTTGCATGGCCAAGACTTAAATCTTTTGTGTTCTGTTAGCACTCACAGTATGTGTTGTGGATGACTCTCAGCTACTATCACATGGGATTTTAGCTAAATATGTGCAAAACTGAATGAAGCATTGCCACTTTCATATTGGCTAAGGTCAATTAGCTTGAATAGCTTTGACTTCAAAAGTTGATCTGTTTTAGATCGTTACTAATCCAATCATAAGTTTCTAAAGATTTATTAAAATCTAAAGGTGCTAAAGCAACTTTATTGTCTGAATGTTTATGAAGCATTCACACTATTGTGATCTATTTTTCTTCTGTATGATATTCAGCATCTTTCTCGTTCCACAGTTTTTGTGTTATGTCAACAAATGTCAAAATGTTCAGCTCGTTCAGGAGAAGGGTGCTATGACTTTTGGTATTGGTGCAACTTTAGCTTTTTGAAATATTTAGCCTTTTCTGCCAATTTTTCCCTCATAGAAAATGAATTGAGCTCATTTTACATCCTTCAAATCTTTAGATCTGTTTACAGCCTTTTACTGCTCCTTTCACATTTCGTTCTGGTTCAGCTTCTTTCAGCTTACTTGTGCAAATTTAAACTTTTTTCCAGCTAATTTCAGCTGTTTTTTTTTCAGCTGTTTTGTGCTCCTTTCAGATTCTTTCTGCTAACTACAACACTTTTGTGCTTCTTCTAACTTCTTTCTGCTAATTTCAGCTTGTTATGCTCCTTTCAGCTTATTTATGTGTTTCAGTTTTTTCAGCTATTTCTTCTGTTTTATGCTTGTTTTAGCTTTTTCAGCTAATTTCACATTTTTTTGCACTTATTTTAACTTTTTTAATCCAATTTCAGCAAAAATGTGCTCTCTCAACTTCCTTCTGGTAATTTAAGCTTCTTTCAGCGTTTTTAGACACTTTTCAGCTGTTTATTTTTTGTGCTCATTTCAGCTTTGTTCAGCCTAATTGGGCAAACATGTTCTTCATACTTTCGTCTGCTGATTGATGCTTGTTCTTGTTCTACCTTTTCAGCTGTTAGTAGTTTTAGCTAATTTCAGCAGTTTTCAGATAAATTCAAGGTTTTCATGGTAATATCTGCTATTTCAGCCTAATTAACTTATTGCTGCTCATTTCAGCTCATTATGCTCCTTTCAGCTTAATTGTGCAAGTTTCACTTATTTCAGCTACTATTCAGCTGTTTTATGCTAATTTTAGCTTTTTCAGCTAATTTCAGTTTTTGCACTCATTTAAGCATTTTTCAGCCTAATTCAGCGAAAATGTGCTCTCTCCACATACTTCTGCTATTTTAAGCTTCTTTCTGCTATTTGAACTACCTGTACTTTTAAGCTGTTTTTGTTGTGATTTCAGCTTTTTTCATATAATTTCCACTTTTTTGTGTTCACTTCTGCTTCTTTCAGCCTAACTGGGCACAATTGTGCTCTCTCCTCTTCCTTCTGGTAGTTTAAGCTTCTTTCTAGATTTTCAGCTACTCTTCAGCTATTTTTGGCTAATTTCAGCTTTTAGAGCTAATTTACTAATTTTTGAGCTAATTTCTGTTTATTTAAAACTAATTCAGCAAATATGTGTTCTTTCTGCTTTCTTCTGATAACTTAGGCTTGTTCTTCCTTTTCAGCTAAATTTCAGCATGTTTTAAGCTAACTTCAGCTGTTTATCTGCAAGTTCATTAGCAATAAGCATTCACACTGCATTTATTAATTGGTAATGCAATTTCTCTAGTTTTAGTTGGTTTAATCTACTTTTTTAAAATTTCCGTCCATGTATTTGTTTAGCTGTGTTTCATAGAATTACAAAACGTATTAAAAAAATACATCAAAGTGTCTGATTGGGTCAGGAATGTTGTGCTAGAACTCTAAGTTGAGGTACATTTTATGGCATAGGCAGGCAAAAGCTGTGAATATGTGTCCACCTCACCGTGGGGTAGGGGTACTGCTGGCCTCGGGGGTAGGTGCTGCCAGTGAACTGGGCCAGAACCATGTTGGGCACCAGGCTGTCGTTGATGGTGAGGAAGGCCAGTCGCTCTCCGTCAGGTGACCACCAGTGAGCCAGGTGAGACCGCAGGATCTCCTCTGAACAGAAAAAAAAAAAAAAACATTTTCCGATGCTCCTATTACTGATCCAATTTAACATTTTATCACATTTTTCTAAAAGCTGTTGCAGCTGGTGTCTAAATCTTTTAATAACATGGTTATAAAGCAAATACAGAAGTTAAAACACACATCTCCAAACGTTCCTCATCTGTGCAATCATTTCAGAGCCATTGAGTGGGTTGTGGAGGCTTCCTGTTTACTTGTTTCCCTTTGACAGCCTGTTTGTCTACTGTACAAGGCTGCATTGAAATGCCACAAAGCAAAATAATCTGCAGTCAGACTGTAGCCATCTCTTTTCTTGTTCTTAAATATGAAGAAATTCAAAATAGCAATGATTTCTCCCAGACATCACCAATAGAAAGAGAAATTGCATTTCCTGTGAAAATCAGAATCAGAATCAGAATCAGTTTATTATTGCCATGTCAATGAACGAGGTTCACAAACTAGGAATTTGCTTCGACATAAGGTGCGAATAGTAGTAAAGTAAAATAAAGTAAAAATTAAGTAAAAATGAGAACATTACATAAGACATGAGCCTGTGTACACCCACAAATAAAGTAAAATTAAAAACATAACATAACCATATGTACACCCATACAATAGAAAACAATAAAAAAGCTTAGAAAACAGTACAGATGGAGTATTCAGTTATAATACAGGTGTAATGTGACCAAAGCAGAAATTATGAGGTAGCATTATGAGTGTTCAGGAGTCCAACAGCAGAGGGGAAGAAACTGTTCTTATGGCGGGAGGTTCTGGTCCGAATGGACCGAAGCCTCCTGCCTGAGGGGAGTGGTCCAAACAGTCCGTGTGCAGGGTGAGCAGGGTCAGCTGTGATCCGACCTGCTGAAAATGCAGTGTGAATGCTTATTACTTAAGCAATTACTTGCTGAAAAACGGCTAAATTATCTAAAAACATGCTGAAATGTAGCTGAAATTGAAGAAAAAGCTTAAGTTAGCAAAAGAAAGCAGAAAGAACATATTTGCTGAATTTGGCTTAAATAAGCAGAAATGAGCAAAAAAAAAGTAAATTAGTGAAAAAAGCTGAAATTGGCAACAACAAAAAGCTGAAAAGTAGCTGAAAAGGCCGAAAAAAGGCTTAAATTAACAGAAGAATGAAGATAGAGCACAATTGTGCCCAATTAGAATGAAAGCAGAAATAAAAAAATTTAACAGCTGAAAAGTAGCTAAAAAGGCAGAAGCTTAAATTACCATAAGAAAGTAGAGAGAGCACGTTTTTGCTCAATTGGGCTGAAAAAAAGTTGAAATGAGTGCAAAAAAAAAGTGGAATTAGCTGAAAAAGATAACATTAGCATAAAGTAGTAGTTGAAATAACAGAAAAAGATGAAACTTGCAGAAATAAGCTGAAAGGAGCACAAAACAGCTGAATTTAGCTGAAAGCAGCCAAAAACAGTTTAAATTGGCACAAGGAAGGTGAAAGAGGCTGAAGCAGAATAAAATGTGAAAGGAGCAGTAAAAGGTTGTAAACATATCTAAAGAGCTGAAGGACGGAAAATGAGCTCGATTCATTTTCTAGGAGGGAAAAAAGTGGCAGAAAAGGCGAAATATTTCAAAAAGCTAAAGTTGCACCACTATCAAAAGTTACAGCAGGATTTTCCTGAAAGAGCTGAATGTTTCGATTTATGATTTGTTGAAATAGCACAAAAATTGTGGAACAAGAAAGATGCTGAAAAACGTATGGAAGAAAAATGGATCACAATAGAGTGAATACTTCATAAACATTCACAGTATTAGTACATCTAACTTCCATCACAGCCACACTTTGCTGTTTAAAAGCCACAAATATTCAGAAAGCGTGGTGGAAATGCGCCAGTCGACTAACCTTCGTACAACCAGTCGGCGAGCCCGTTGAAGACGACTCCTTCCTTCCCGGAGGAGGTGATCCTCAGAGAGTTGCTCCTCACGTCTGACTGGTAGTAGATGTTGTTCTCAAAGATGTAGATCTGAGGAGCCAAGTAGAACACAAACATTTACCTATTTTTAAAACCTGTCATATATAGTCCTGTTCAGCTGCTGCTTCTGTTTGATTTTTCTGGGTTTTTTTGTCTTCATAAAAACTGTCAGGCAGTCATGTTCAACCAGCCAATTCAAGGACTGAAGCCTAGAGCGGTCATTTCTAACCCGGGCCCACGCCAGGCCGGGACAAAATAATGTGCTGGATGCAGGGCCAGATTAACACTTCACTGTACCCTGGGCAACAATCTTCAAGGGCCCCATCATCACGACCCCAGTATCACCATAATCTGGCAAAATACAGAATAAATTACCATAATATACAGTAAATATACTTAATTTTCTAACTATCAAGTGTTATTTTTTATTTATAAAACTCCAAATGCTCATTGACACAAACCATCAAGACTGAATTAAATTGAACGCACTTTGAACATCACATGACATCATATGTGTACTTGTTTAGTAACGTGTTGGCCACTGGTATCAGAAGCATTTATAATGTGTGTGTGTGTGTGGGGGGGGGGGGACACACTGATGGGGTGGTCTGGGGTCCTCCCCCATAAAATTTTTAATAAAGTAGATGCCATTTCCTGCATCCTGGTGTATTTTAACGGTTGTTTAACGTCTAGTTTTACCTACATAAGTAACACTTGGAACACCTTGGGATTCCCCTGGAGGTCCAAGTGGCTGGGGAGAGGGAAGTCTGGGCCTCCCTACTTAGGCTGCTACTCCCGCAGATGGATGGAAGTAAACACTTGATTCAATAACTATTTTAGAGCTAATGGCACAACAAGAAGTAACCTGACCAACAGCTGATGCAACAATTAAAAATATTATATATTCAAAGGTGACGATTTAATGCCCAAATTAAAATTAAATATCTGTAACTTAGTTGACTTCAAATGAAATAAGATTATCAATGAATGTTTGTGACAAAGGATTTACCGAGTATAACAAAGATTCCTTCAAGAAACCTCCCAGTATAAATCATAAAACCATTGACTTCTGTTCATTCTAAATTTGTCAAAATGGTCTAAATCTCTTAAAGTGAAGGAGAATTGTTTAAAAATAATAAATAAGATATATCCTGTAGCCATGTTTCTGCAAAGAAGATTTAAATTTGATGTTGATTTGTGTGCCCTTTGTAAATCAGAAGATGAATCCCTGGAGCAAGTTTTTTTCATGTCAATACAAAATGTTTGGTCAGACATCAGAAAATGGACGAATCTCAAACTTAACATTCCTTCTTTTCATGCTGATTCCATTTTACTTTATGTGGATAATTTAAGCTCAGCTTTCTCTTATGTCATAAATAAAGTTGTACTTATAGCAAAGTACTACATTCACTGTAGTAAGAGGAGGGATAATAAGCCTTCCTTCCTGTTTGATGAACAATTTTAAGTCATACTATTCTTCATTAAGTAGATTAAAAATCTACAAAACTGCTAAAATCATCTCACAACAGATACAAACTTATTGTTTTAATTAAAACAATGTTTCTCAAGAAAAAAAAACTGATGAGCTTGTCAGCAGGTAAGGGGCGTTTACCTTCGGGACAAATTGAGGTTGTCGATTGGTCAGTTACTGACACGCCTTCTGGGTTGATTGACAGGTTGCGCCATCGAGGATCCGATTGAAAAAAAAAAAATGAAAAAAACCGAGAGCTGCAGCAGCCGCGCTGGGAGGATGCGGGGCTGCACAAATGCAGTGGAAGTGCAGCAGTTTGTGCAGCGCAGAGCTCCAAGTAAAGCAGGAGCTAACCAGATATTCTGCTTGTGCCCTCACTGCCCTGGGCCCCTTAGAGATCATGGGCCTCTGGGCAGTTGCCCATATGGTTAATCCGGCCTTGGCTGGATGGGCTGGGTCGGTGTCGGGCTTTTGGTTGCGTCAGCGGACACGTGCAGTTGACAATCTAATTTGGATCACCACCAGCCGCTTGTGGCCGTTTGACCGCGCCCTGACCGGTTGGTTGAAAGAGGTACCGTATTTTTCGAACTTAAAATCCTTGGATTTTCTCAAAAAATCGACAGTGAATCTTATAATCCGGTGCGCCTTATATATTAATTCTGGTTGTGCTTACTGACCTCAAACAATTTTATGTGGTACACGGCGCTCAAAACTCTGTCAAAATTAACTTACAGTATTTCACTTAATGCGCCTTATGATCCGGTGCGCCTTATAGTCGGGAAAATACAGTGCAAAAAGTTCAGATGGATGACTGCCAGTGACCAACCTGAAGCTTAACTGGACCCAGCTGCTGCGTCAGCGGATGCGCAACGACCTTTAATAACTACAATAACTATAGTATTATAATAACTATAATATTATAACTATAATAATCCGCTGACTCTTGTTAATAAACAAGAAATCTTACATCTTTCATACTTTGAAATATCTTTTTAAATCACGCCAAACTAATTTGCTTACAAAAGCAGTAAAAGCTTACTATAAAGGGGTGGGGGGTTCAGGTTCGGGCCTGTAATCAGTTAATTGGTCAGTTTTGGGTTGAGCTTGGAAAAAATGATACGGGTTCGGTCCGGGTTGGATTTTTAGGCACAAGTGCAACTCTACTGAAGCCACATGGTATGGATCATAAACTTCCTGTTTTCCATACATACATACATACATACAAATATGTATGTATAAATAAATAAATATTTATATATATATATATATTAGGCCTTTAACAGACTACTCGAGTAATCTACACATCGATTCCTAGGACATCTGAGTTTTTTTATTTCACGTCGCGTATTCGTGGTGACGTCATTACGTCACGTGTCACGTGATCCGCACCGGGCGCGGGTTACTAAATGGATTCCTCTCAGCAGATGGACTGAGCGGAGCAGGCCCAGTCTTGGCAAACAGGTAGAAATGCATCAGTAGTCTGGAAATATTTCACTAAAGACGAATCTTCCGGTTCAACTACCGTAAGAAAACAGAAAATGAATCAACTTCCTGACTGTTCGGAGCTCGTTGCTAACCGGTGTTATACCATATTCTGTGACCACCGTATATTGTGAACCTAGGGGGTGGTGTTGCATGCACTGTTGCAGGTCACAGAATATGGTGCAATCGACCAAACCAGAACCAGCTTCCTCTGGCCTTGTTTCACAAACTAAAAGCAAAAAATATTAATCTCTAAACTTATTAAAAACCTATACACATATTAATCTCTAAAACTAAACCTAATGCGCACCACAGCTGGCGGTGGTGTGGGGTGGTCAACCCTCCCACTGTTTTTAGTTTTGTTTTTGACGTGCCGCATATTTCTGCATGTTTTGCAGCTTAATAATAATAACTAATAGTTTTGTTTTTCCTGTGACTTATTTGCAGTATGATAAATGGTAGGAGCATAATATACGCTCCCAATGTTTTGTTGGTCTTTTTTTGTAAATAATTACCTTTTTTGCGGTTTTATTTATTTATTTATTTTTGTATCTTTAGATCCAATGATGTCATCAAGTACTCAAGTTCTACTCGAGTTTTATTATGTTAATGTCAAGTTGAAAAATTATGTAGTCGATCAACCCCATATATATATAGTATACACTCACACATTGGTGCTTGAAAGTTTGTGAAGCCTTTATAATTTTCTATATCTCTGCATAAATATGATCTAAAGCATCATCAGATTTTCACACAAGTCCTAAAAGTAGATAAAGGGAACGCAGTTAAACCAATAAGACAACAATATTATACTTGGTCTTCTAAATGTAGACACAATTTTCTATTATCCAGTGTGTGTCTCACTGCAAATCCCATACGGGTGGCTTTTTTCTTAACTTAGATTATCACTAAAAGTTAAAATGTGTCTGATTCTTCATTGACACCATTAAAAATTTCATAGATTTTTTAAAAAAGATTTATAGCTTTGTATTTTACTCTTTGCTTCACATTTTCCAACACGTAGCCATTACGACAGAATGCAGTCACTTTTCTGTAAATGACTGATTTCTTTACCGTAATTTCCGGACTATAAGCAGCTACTTTTTTTTTCACAAGCTTTGAACGCCGCGGCTTATTTTTTAATTCCTTAATTATTTTTATACAATGCTGCAGCTAATTTATGTTTAATTATTATTATTATCTTTTAATTATTTTAAATTAACGGGTTAACGAGCTTTATGACCAAATAATAAATAAAAAATTTAGCCTCGTCACCCCGGGTTCTCACATAGCTGCCCAATACACATCTCTCTTGCAGGGTGGGTTCTCGTGACTCAATGAGACTACCTGTATAAAGGTTAAAAAAAATCTGACCAATGAAATTACCAAACGGGTCACTGTGGACCAATGAAACTTCAATTACCGTAAATCAAACGCACTCACACTAAATTCTTCAGATCATTTATTTTGCTCTTCATGCACAGACCCTGTTCATCTGTTCAGTGATCATGGAAAATGCACGAAGAAATGCATATGATGCATCATTTTTTTGATGGATATATTACAGGCGATTGATCTGGCTGTAGAAGGAGGAAATGGAGCAACAACGAAAGCGAGAC